AATTAAATGTTCAACTACAAACAAAATATATATGGCATAAATAAAAAATACATAAAGCTGAAGGCAATATAATGATTATATAATTTTAATTAATATCCAGTCAAAATACCTGAATCATTTCCTGCAGCATCTTCTTGATCCTGTTCATCATCCATTCCTTCTAAGTCGAATAATCCTTCACAATCTACATTAGACTTGGTGGATTTAAATGGCCTGCTTGAAGAATGTGGCTATGAACAGAAACGATGTTAAAAGTAGAAGAATTATGTCATTGAAATTTGTTTTAGCAATGTAAAAAAAGTTAGTTTTTTTTTATTAATTATATATTCATGTTGAACCACTTCTGCATAAGTGCTCTTGGAATGCAGTTTTCTTTATGCATTTGGTCATTTTTACATTTATAACATTTACAAAATGAAAACATGAGAATTGACTGTTTGTTTCTATGAATTCGTAAATAAATCATATACAGTAAAATGACAAAACATTGAAAACTTTTTATTAAATTTTATTGAAAAAATCATTTTATTGAATGCCCTAAAAATATAAATTTTCTCTTTTTTTTAATCTCGAATAATAGTCCACCATAATACTGTTTGACTTGCAGTAAATAAATTTATACAAAAAAACCTATAAAATGGACTATAATACAAAATATTTAAATACATGAAATAGACTCACAGATCTAGTTTCTCCTGATGTTCTGCTCTGGATATCCAAATCAGATGATAACATTTCAGAAGATCTAACTGGTGAAATTCCAATGCTACTATTAGTGCTACTAGAATTTGTTGCTAACGGTGGTGAGATTGCTGCAGTAAGTTCTATTTTTGGTTTATCTTTACCAATTTGTTGACTAGACATGTTGACTATGGCCATTGTTGACTGATTTGTGGGCAGCATTATTGTCCTAGAAATAATAAAATATGATACATTTTTCTCTAGCTTTCCTTTAATATTTACCAGAAAATCATTAAGTGTTGAAGAATCTTAAGTGAAGAAGAATAGCTTTCAACTACTATAATAGGCAAACAAATTTTAAAAGAATGCTATTACTTATTCTATTATTATAACATTTTCTCAAAAAGAAATATGAAAAAATATTGAAAAAAATATTATATTTACCCTGCTAAAGCATTATAGTCATTGTGGGCTTTCTCACGGAACTCTTCTAGCTGCAAGTATTGTTCTTCTTGATAGTTCCGAATTCTTTGTTCAGTTGCCTGCATTTCCTGCTGCATTGTTCTTGTAAGCTGCTGTTGTAGATTTGATAAAGCCGTTTGTAACGGGTCAGAAGATTGTGAAACTATAATTAAATCAATTAATAGAAATTAATAGGTTTAGTCACAAAAGAATTATCAAATCATAGTCAAGTCTTCTCTTATTTGTGATAGAGGAGGTGATACCAAACTTTATATAGTTTGGAATTAAAATGCTAAATGCTCCAAAAGAATAATCATTTACAAATTTGTTTACAAATTCTAACCAAACTAAAACTTCATTTCATATAAAAGTATTTTTTGTTTATAGTGTCTTATATTTACCTGTTGATTTAATAGTAGGAACATGTATTTCATCACTAACATTAGAATGATTAATCACAACTTTAAAAATAGGTGAGAATTTTTCACTTTTTCGAAGTGAATTTATTTCAGCTGTGTCGCTCTGTAACAAATTTTTAATTATTAAATGAAACAACAAACTAATATATAAATCATAATACCAATAATCCTAAATTGACGACAATGGTTCTATTTGAATCTTTTTGAATAGCATGAGTGTGCATATTGCAATTCAAACACTTATGTAAAATCCATCCCTGAGAATTTTCTGATTGTAACAGGCACGGTTGTTGTTTTGCTATTGATAATGGTTTAATAATTCCAAGTTTCTGCAAAGGAAAAATCAATAGTAATTAATAATGAAATCATTTATATTGATAAGGCATGTTTATGGTATGTTTCCATGTTTAAAATAACTAATAATAAATACAATATTGCAGATATGTATAAGATAAACAAGATTGTAATTTGCATACCATAACATATTTACAAATATATACATCTATACATCTAGTTGACAAAACAAGATATGAAGATATCATGATTAAAATACTTGAATAAATGTGTTATATATTAATCATTTTAATGTGATATATTTGATAATAAAATTACTTTCATAGTTTTCATTTAATACGTTCATATTGTTATGCATTCAGCATCAAAATTGTTCATTGTTCAACCACATTCAATGAAAACAAATTGTTTACTTTTTCAGACTCCAATTGTTTAGGATTATAAATTTAAATAAGCTTTGAAAATATGTACAACGTTGCTTTCAAAATGATGATTTGATTATGCATTATATACTGTAGACAATTGTATTGGTTGCAGAGTATGATTGTATATTTTTTATTTGCATAGCTGATATAGTTTATTTTAAGCCTGGCTTACAAATATATTAAATATTTTTTTGGAAATATCAAATGCAAATACAACTTTTAACTGTTTTGCAAGTGCATACATATTTAAATATATATTAAATATATATATAGAACACGAGTTAGAATCCACCGATATGGACTTTAGAATCAGATTTTATTTTGTATCAAAAAATTTATAACATATTATAAAATTAAAATTTTATCAGCTATATTTATAGCTATCAAAATACAATTTGAAAATTCATAAAATCCAAATACTTTTAAAAGTTATTAATAGACTTCATTGCTAAGAAGAATGATTCAAAAATATGTTTATTCATTTCAAATATATTAATCTACCAAATATCTATAATTATTTGACTAATTAATGCGCTCATTGTTTTTGTCACCTTGGTATAGCTAGTAAATGTTTATCATTGTGCAATACATACACAAATATTTTGTATATCAATAATAGAACATGTTTGTGTATATATAAAATGAAAATATATACTATAATGATAATCTAAATTCCGTTGTTTGTAATATTTATAAATGCACATGTACAATAATTTTAGAAGTTATTTATTATTTACCCACCTCTTGAAAAATGGGCTCTGAAATATCTTCTGGAGATAACCCCAAATCTGCTTTTCCAATATTCTGAATACCATCATCGTCTACCTCTATAGCGACGTTGAGGCATTTACAAAAAAGTTGCATTATCTTTTAATGTAAGTTTCATAGATTTATATAAGTTTAACAATTTATAAATAACTTTGTTCAATATAATATATTACATTACCAAACCATTTGACAGACAAGTACAACAGAAACATTCGTATATACGCGATATTGATATTTCGGAATAAACATATGATTGCAAGAGAATATATCGATATCGCGCTGATGCTTGCGATAACGTGGGAAATTTGAAATCTGGTTTGGATCGATTTCTTAGAAATAGGGTGGTGAACTTGTATTTATTGCTTTTATTAAAGCACGTAATGTGATTTTCTGAGAAAAATTTATTTAATAGTTAAAAATTAGTTTATAGTTTTCCATTTTTATGAACTTTTCATTACACAAAATGAAAAATATTCTTTATAATGATAGAAGTCTGTATGGGGGTTGTAGACAGAAATCATAGTGATAGATAAAAAATCAACTTATATTTTTAACCAAATTAATAAAAATGTTTAAACTTATATATTATATATAGTTATAACTATTTCAAGTTTACCAAATATGTGCTTTTCTTTGGATTTTTTGAATTTTTTATTTCTTATGATAAGAGCTCATGAAAAGTAAAATTCAAATGAATATATGTTATTTATTTATGTAACCATTAAATTTTTCTGTAAATTATTTATGTTAGATAAGTTTAGCATGAAGAATTTTATTTACAAATATATTCTGCATTCATATAAATAAATATGAATTGCAGACAAAAATGCACACGTCATATATAAATATATTATTCTATGTCTGCATAATCATACTCTATATAAATAGTACAGATTTTTCTTTATACATATATGAGAATATATTCTTTGCCAGCATATATATACATATAAACATTCTACATATAAATTATAATATGTAACATTTTTATTCATACCAATATATATATACTTGCCTTGTATGCATAGGATAAGATTCATATTCTTAGTTCAGCAAATTGGGAAAAAAAATCCAGATTATTAATTGTTGAATGCCATTAGAAATAATTGTGAATACATTTACAAAAGTGTATACTATTATATTTGCCCCCAGCTAAGTAGTATTCGAGATATATCAATTAAGCACTAGGAAGTCATGACTTCTAGTCTAGACTGCAGTTTAGTCATGTAATTAATAAAAATACATATATATATTTATATAATTAATTGGTAGTACCTGAATAGCTATAAGATGTTCTAAATAAGAATATTTACTCATGAAAAGAATAATTTACTTCAGTGGCGTACCTAGGGGGGGGCGGTGGGGGCGGTCCGCCCCGGGCGGCACTTATTTTGGGGCGGCATTTTTTAGTTTATTTATACATAGTTGTAAAAAGCAACTTATTCATTTTATATTTATTAACTTCCGTATGGTAAGTTATAGTAATGGACCGAAAATCAAAAAATGAAATTTTTTACATTTCTTCACGTTTTGAAGGTTTCTGACCATTTTGGCATACCTCAGAAAAAATGGAAGAGTGTGTGTTTTGTGTGTCCGCATTTTTTCGTTCACGTTTTCGGGCGCCCCGATCAACCGATTTGATGGTACAGAAAATAGAAATCGAGTTTTTGAGAGAATGAAACATCCGATTTAATTGATGCAAAAAACTTCAATTTGTAATGATGAGGAGAAGTGGTGATTAGTTTTTGGCAAAGGCAGAGATACCAAGCAAAATGTGCAAAGAATATCTATTTTTGAGAAAACTAAGCATCCGATTTGAATGATTCAAAAAACTTTCTATGTGGATTTTAATTTGAATTCTACCTAAAGTTCAAATGCTCACTTATATACTTGAAATAAATAATTTTAACTTTGTAATTCAGTTTATATATTTCTTATAAATATTAGACAATGCCCTTTATTTCAAATTTGATTGATTGAGTTTTGTTTATTTACTTTTCTGTAAACATATATAAGTTACAGTATTTATAACTATATATTTGAAAACATTTAATTTTCCTCGAATATATCATTACAGTACGGGAAGTTCCAGCAATTTGCCTTAACTTACAATGCCATACACCACTAGTTAACTTCCCCAAGGAGAAGTTTATGTTTTCATCAAAAAATCCGAATCGCTAATTTTATGTTTTCTCGACGTTTCAAGCTATTCTGAATCGAATGAGCCCAAATTTGGCAAAAGTATGTGTGTGTATGTGAACAGATTTTTTGTCGTAAATCGTCGTTTTTTCAAAAACGGCTAGACCGATTTCAAAAATTTAAAAGCCACTCGATGTATCTCGATGAGGACTATTATTTGTCAGATTTGTGCGACGATCGGCCAAGCTGTTTCTTTATAAATCGCAGAAAAGTGAAAATTTTTTCGTCTACGTTTTAGCCTGCAATTCTGAATTGATTTTGAAAATTCAAAAACCGTTCGAAAGATATTAGTTGGGAATCGTGCTGATTAGTTTTTGGTAGAGATTGGCCGGGCCGTTTTCTTAATAAAGTTTTTAAAAAAAAATTTCGATTATTTTTATGATTATTTTTTTGACGGTAGATACCATAGTCTTCTAGATCATACTAAAATATTACAGTCCTACGACGACTGGTTTAGCTTAAAAAATTCGTCAAAGTTTGCAAAAATTAGTATGGTCTTTTTGACATTTGTCAAAATTAGACCTTTGATCGACGTTTTCTCAAAAACGCCTGAACCGATTTCAGAAATTTAAAAACCATTTGATGTATCTCGATGAGGCATATCGTTTCTCAGTTTTGTCGGTCGACGGTCGGCCGAGCCGTTTCTTTGTAATTTGGAAAGAAGTGTTAAACCTTTCGTCCACATTTAAGCTCATACTACCGAACCGATTTTAAAAAATTAAAAACTGTTCGAAAGACATTAGTTGGGATTGATACTGATCAATTTTAGGTGAAAATCTACCGAACCGTTTTCTTGTAATTAACTGTTGAAAAAAAATTTAAGCCGATTTTTATGAAACTTTCTTTGGCGATGTATATCATTGCCTTATAAAACTTACTGAATTATTATGGCCTTACGACAAGTAGTTCAATTTTAAAAATTTATCAAAGTTAGAGAAAATGTTTTTTTTGACGTTTGTTAAAAATAAAATTAGATGATTTAGTTGGTATAACATAACGATAGTGTACTTGGTCTTGAGCATAGTAAACCATTAAAGTCCTACGGAAACTGGTTCAATTATAATTATTGATTAATTAAAATTATTGATATTTGAAAATTTGCTTTTAGAAAATACTCCGAGATAACGTGTTTGTTCGTTCGTTTGCAATGATGTGTAATAAATCCACTCGGAATACTTTTAATCACTCATAAATTAATTTATTTTTTATTGATTAAGTCGATTATTTACACATTTCGGGAAGTTCATGTAACTTGCCTAAAGGCAAAATACCAGTACCAACTAGTTTTCTTTCTTGAATTGTCAATTTTTTTTTTGAAAATCAGGGCTGGCGGAAGGCGGAGTCTACTAAGTCTGCAAAGCCTTGGAGCATTATATAAATATGTTGACGAGTGCATAAAAATATATCAGAAAAAAATTACTCTGTGTAATATTGATTAAATAACTTAATAATTTTTTAACTTCCGTAGGGTAAGTTATATATAGTAATCGCAAAAATGTCGAAAGTGAAAATTTTTATATATCTTTACGTTTCAGAGGTTTCTGAATTTTGGCATATCTTAGAAAAAATGGATGTGTGTGTGTGTGTGTGTTTAGATACAAACTTTTGTCGATGATTGTAGTAACACGCATGAACCGATTTGAACTGATAAGACGTGCTAATTACTTTTTGGCAAAGGCAGGTCTAGCCGTTTCAAAGATACGGGGAAAAAAAGCCAAAAATTGTAATTTAGTTCTTGAGAGAACGAAGCGTCCGTTTTAAGTAATTCAAAAAACATTTTATTTGTATTGACTGAACAAAGAACTGTTTTTGGGATGACAGGTCTAGAGGTCTAGCGATTACGGAGAATCAAAAATAAAAAGTAAAAAAATGACATATTTGGCGGTCCAAAATGATCATTAGACATATCCACGTCAAATTATCTGATATTTTCTAGAGATTTTAATAATAAGAACAAATTTAATTTACATTTCTATGGGTTCCGTATCAATGTCTAGCCGTTTCGCTTCGATATTTCGTCTCCAAAACAGCTGCGCAGCGCGATTGATTTGAAAAAAAGTTACAAATTTTCAAGAAAATTCAAAATATAAAAAAAAATTTCAAAAAAGCCATTTTTTTCAAAATTTTCGAAATTCTCAGAAATATATTTTTTTCAGATTTCAAAAAATTTTTAATCTTTTTTAAAAATTTTATGTTTCGGTGCGAGAAGTGCCAGCAATTTGCCTTAAGGCACGATGCCATGCACCACTAGCTTATTTGTATTAATTTATGAAAACTACTATTTGGCTGACTTATAATTGAAAGGGCGGCAATCTGGAGACCGCCCCGGGCGGCAAAAATTCTAGGTACGCCACTGATTTACTTGAAAGAAAATTTTTCTCATGGACTGTCTTTTTATTTTTTGTTGCAACAACAAGAAGTTTGCTGCATCACATACTTTAAACATTTGCTTTATATTCTTGATTACTTGCAAAATATTTAAAAGCAATCTAAATATTGCAATATTGCATCCATTCTTCTTTCATCTATGGTCCAAAAACATCTGATAAAAACTATTTCACAATGATATGTTAGTAGAACTGAATAATAATTATTATTTAAATATTAACTAATATATTGACTACAGCCTCGGGCTCTGTCACATAAACTACGTTCTCTGTGCAAAATATATTATATATTTCACAAATATTTTGCCATACTCTGTTCAACAAATTAATATATAAAAAAACAAGTTAATATATATATGATAGTGCAAAATTGTGTTCCTAGCGCTAGCTACTGATGTAAGACCATATTTATATCCACTGATGATGACATAAAATACTATGTCGAAACGTTTGGAAAAATTAAAGATTAACTTCTAAATCTTTGCCTTTTATTTGATGTATGCCCTTGAAGAACTTACTCATATTTCTCAACATCAAAATTAACTACTATATATATATATATATATATTGAATTTCGATAATGTCCTTGCAGGGAAATTAAGGACGTCTATTTAAAATCTTTTAATAGTCATAATGTAACCTTTACAGAAATACTGTCTTTCTCTTTGAATTTTGTAATGAAATTTGAAATCCTTTTAGTTTGCTCAGTGATTGATGAAATAACCTGGATTGTCCTTGCAGGGAAATTAAGGACGTCTATTTAAAATCTTTTAATAGTCATAATGTAACCTTTACAGAAATACTGTCTTTCTCTTTGAATTTTGTAATGAAATTTGAAATCCTTTTAGTTTGCTCAGTGATTGATGAAATAACCTGGATTCACTTCAGTATAAGGATTTAAGACATAAACCCTTGATAATATATATATATATATATATATATATATATATATATATATATATCAAGGGTTTATGTCTTAAATCCTTATACTGAAGTGAATCCAGGTTATTTCATCAATATATATATATATATATATATATATATATATATATATATATATATATTATCAAGGGTTTATGTCTTAAATCCTTATACTGAAGTGAATCCAGGTTATTTCATCAATCACTGAGCAAACTAAAAGGATTTCAAATTTCATTACAAAATTCAAAGAGAAAGACAGTATTTCTGTAAAGGTTACATTATGACTATTAAAAGATTTTAAATAGACGTCCTTAATTTCCCTGCAAGGACATTATCGAAATTCATTCAAACCGAATTCCAATAACTTAGTTGCCTTTCTTCAAGAAACACATTTAATATTTTCTATTCATCAATTATAAAAGATACTAATTGTGATTCTCAATAAATTACTTTATTAGCAAGGAATGTCTCCCAAACATTTTTACAATAAAATATTTTAAAATATTCATAACGAATACAACTTAATAAATAAAGAAAAAACAAAAATTAAGAATATTTAAATTATGTACAATGAATTCTTTTTTAACTTGATGATAAGTGATATTAAGAAAGGAATGAAAATAATATTAACAATATTAATAATTTGTACAAACTAATCTTATAACAATAACAGCATCAACTTTTTAAGGACAAAAACTGCTCCTTTTTTGTGAAGTATTCTTTGAATCTAATTGCAGCATACCTGTAAAATGAGAAACATATAATTAAATAATTTATTTTAAAATTACTGGAAATCATTGAGTTCTGATATAATAATTAATAAGAAGAATTCCCAGCCGTTTTAAATGTGAATAAATGTATATGAATATATTTGTCAAAATATAACTTAATTAAAAAATTAGGAACATAAATATATTGTTCTATTATTGTTAACACTATAAAAAATATTGTTAATATATTGTTCAATATTTGATTACTTGTTTCTAATAGATTGTAATGATTCACTTAAGTCAATAAATCAATTGATTTAGATAGAAAGTTATATATTTAGATAATAATATTATTAGACGTAAATCATTTGATAAAGAAAATATTAAAAGAAAACCTAAGTTTAACACCTTTTCCCCAGTGCATCTAATATAAAACTGTACACATCAACAAGATAATTTTGTAAATTCCATATTGAGAAATATTAAACTCAATTGATTATTACTTACCCAATAAAATCAAAATCTATACTGGAGTGTTTGGCTTGTATCAGAGCCCAAATGCCCCAAAAGAAATGCGTTGCTAAACAAAACTTGTTAACTTGGCCATACAATTTTAACACTTCAGTTTCACTAACAAATTCCGTGTTGTAATAACTTTGCAAGTATTCTTTCAGCCAAGATAATTGGAATTGTTTTGAAGGATATCGGGAATAGTCTACAACTTCTCCTAGACCTGCAGGGAAAAAGATAATGTAATTTAGTTATTTGTGTACAATTTATTATATTATATTGGCTATATATATATTATTGATTAGCTAATTGTGTAATATAACTAATAAATGTAAACAAAAACTATTAACAACTTCCTGAAATTTTATTTTTATTTCACAAGGGCAAAGGTAAAAAAATTAGAAGGAAAACTGAAGTCATCATCAAATGATTTAATAGCAAAGTTTGCCAAAAAAAGTAAGGAGAGTGTATATTTAATTTGAATTTCTAGTAAAAGTGACAAACAGATAACTATGATGAATAAATACAGATATTACTCTTAATTTTATACAATTTATTTTTATTTTTTTGAGAAATTGTTAATAATCTGGGGCAAGCTACACAGAATTCTGTGTAACGCTTTAAGGTAAAATATTTTATTATATTTATAAATATTAAGTTAAATAAATTAATTAAAAGTTGCAAAAGATAACTGATAGAAGCAAATAGTATTTGCGAATAATTCTAGTTAAAATTTTGAATTGATTACAAAAATAGGAAAAATTTAGTTTACCTGCAAATTCAGCAAAATGATTTCCGATATCAAATGCTTGATAATTATATCCAGCGTATTCATAATCAATAAATGTGACTTTTTCTTTTTTCTCATCATAGATTATGTTGGCCAGCAACAGGTCGTTATGGGCAAAAACTACTGGACTGCCCAAACCTTTCAATGTCGTGTAGAGCCTGGTGAATTCTGGCCGAAGTTCCGAAAGAGGAAGAATCGTTTCGGTAAATCTATTACGAAAATACATTTTGTTATTGGCAATATATACAGCTGAATATTTTCAACAAGTCTGAATAAGATTTGTCGCACGTAGCCCCTGTGGCCTAATGGATAAGGCATCGGCCTCCTAAGCCGGGGATTGTGGGTTCGAGTCCCACCAGGGGTACTGTTACTTTTTTACACAGTTCTGTATTTAAATGCCTTTGATACAACCTAGCTATGCTACCAAGGTAAACAGCAGGCAGCCCCTGTGGCCTAATGGATAAGGCATCGGCCTCCTAAGCCGGGGATTGTGGGTTCGAGTCCCACCAGGGGTACTGTTACTTTTTTACACAGTTCTGTATTTAAATGCCTTTGATACAACCTAGCTATGCTATCAAGGTAAACAGCAGGTAGCCCCTGTGGCCTAATGGATAAGGCATCGGCTTCCTAAGCCGGGGATTGTGGGTTCGAGTCCCACCAGGGGTACTGTTACTTTTTTACACAGTTCTGTATTTAAATGCCTTTGATAAAACCTAGCTATGCTATCAAGGTAAACAGCAGGCAGCCCCTGTGGCCTAATGGATAAGGCATCGGCCTCCTAAGCCGGGGATTGTGGGTTCGAGTCCCACCAGGGGTACTGTTACTTTTTTACACAGTTCTATATTTAAATGCCTTTGATACAACCTAGCTATGCTACCAAGGTGAACAGCAGGCAGCCCCTGTGGCCTAATGGATAAGGCATCGGCCTCCTAAGCCGGGGATTGTGGGTTCGAGTCCCACCAGGGGTACAGTTAATCTTTTGCAGGATCCTATATTTAAATGCCTTTGATACAACTTAGCTTCGCTATCAAGGTACACATCAGACTTAGATTACCGCAAACGCATTTAAATGTAAAATCCTATAAAAAAATAACAGTAACCCTGGTGGGACTCGAACCCACAATCCCCGGCTTAGGAGGCCGATGCCTTATCCATTAGGCCACAGGGGCTACTGGTTAACCGCGTTTTTCTAAGTGTTTCGAAAAAGTGCAAAGATCAATGAAATATTGAGAAAAAAACATACAAATGTTCGAAAGCTTGCGGGTGGTAATTCGCAATCAAATATAATTCAACCGGTAAACTATTTTTTAAAAATTGGAAAGTAAACAAAGTTTACTTTCACCATTACTTATTTACTTATACTACACAGCACACAGCCTATATATTACTTCAATATGACTTCTCAATTATATATGAATAAAAATTATAATGTTGAAAAAGTTTAGCAAACGTGCAGCAGGTACCACAAGAGTTGTATCATCAAAAAACGCATCATCAAATTACGTTACCAATTTCTCACCTTCTCTGTTTATCAATATCATCATACATATCCGGCACCAGGTCAAAATATTTCTGCATTTTAGGCCAAAGTTCAGCACCGCAGCCGTTCCCCGCATGCTCCGCCAGCTTATGTAACCTGGCCAGTTGCCTTGCAACCAGACGCCAGACGTTGGGTAACCTGATAGTGTCTACGCTCAGCGTTCGTCCAGGAACGAATTCGTAAGCCAGGCCATTGTTGAAAGTCGCGTACAACCGAGGTGCGAAACCGTGACAGTGTAATAGTTTGATATTTCTGAAAGAGTTAGATAAAGTAAACAAAAGCGACTTCGTTATTTTATTTCTATTTATTTGTAGGTATAATATATATTTTGTATATCTTAGTCAGACGGTATGAGACTTCAGGTACAGTAAATACATCATACGTCTATTGTACTTTTACTTTCATACGATGGTCTGATTTATTTAATTCAATTTTCTTTATATTTTTTACTTTAATTTTGAATTAATACTTTTTTTATAATCTTATTCTTAAGAAATACATTGAAAACTCCATAGTATATTTGTATTGTGTTTTTTACACCGTATCATTTTTTGGAAAGGACAACCATTTGAGTTGCCTTCTAATACCTAGGCTCTGCAGTATACAGTGTATCACAATTTATAGAACACTTAGTTATGATTACTGTTCAAAGAAAATGTTTTCATTACAATTGTTTCAAACCACAGCAAGTGAGATTTTTATATTTGTTTTATTAATCTTCTTCTCTTTAACAGCAGAATCTTTTCAGAAACACCTGCTTAGGGGGGCGTTTATTAATCACGTGAGGCTTTTAGGGGGAGGTAGGGTTGGCAAAAACCATGAAAAATCACATAAGGGGAGAGGGGTCTAGTAAGATATAACGTGTATTTATTTTTTTACCTACATTTTCAAAAAAAAATACGTTTTTTATAGCAAATTCGAGAAATTCGTTCGGAAAGTTTTACGTAACTAAAAATACACTTGATGTTTGGTGGGGGAGGGGGGTAATTCTAAAAATCACGACGTATTACCAAGGGGAAGAGGGTTCAAAAATCCCTAAAAAGTCGATTACGTGATTAATGGACTCCCCCTACGCATATTGTTTTATAATAACAGGTAAAACGGGCCAGCAAACAACAAAAGTTACAGAATTTTAATTATCGTGCAAAGGAATTATTAGGTCGAAGATTTTGTTGTTTTTTTAATTTTTTGCCATTATCTAACCTAACGGATAAACATTGGTAAGGAACCCATAGGAATGTAAGCAAAATTTATACTTATTGTTAAAATCTCTATAAAATATCTGATAATTTGATGTGCATATGTCTAATGACCATTTTTGACGGCCAAATGGCATTTTGTTTACATTCCTATGGGTTCCGTAGCAATGTTTATCCGTTAGACGGCGACGCGGCGCTTATGCGCTTCGTTATTTTGTTTCTATGCAGTTAAAGCAGTACGATCGCTTTGAAAAAAAAGTTCAGAATTTTCAAAATAATTTTTTCTAAAGTGATTTTTTTTCAAAAATGTTTTAAAAACGCCCCACTAGTTTCAAAATATAATGAGAATGAAATGTATGTCATTTCAGGCGGGTTAATTAAAATTAATTATCTACACTGGTACTAATAATTATTTTAACAACTTAAGCACTTTAACAGTTACCAATAACTATTTTTCATCAACAGGCTAATGCAACCAGTGAAAACTCTGCTGGAAATTTAACAATTTTCTTAAATGAATTCAAAAATATGTTCCAACAATTGATGAATCAAAACAACATGATCATAAACATGTTATCAGCTTTCATAAATAAAACAAAGTAAACACCATGGCGGTTTATAAGGATGCGTTATGGAATGCAAATGGGCTCTTGAAGCATAAACATGAGATTCAGTTTTTTCTTTTCGAGAATAAAATAGATATACTCCTTGTTAGTGAAAAACACATTTACACATTACTCAAATATGTACGTCCCGAACTATAAATTGTACCACACACCTCATCCGGATGGAACAGCCCACGGGGGCACGGCAATTCTAATAAAATCTGATATTGTTCACTATGAGCTGCAAAATTTTTGTAAAGAACAAATTCAAGCAACTTCTGTCAAAAAAAACTGATGAATTACGAATAGTAATTTCAGCCGTATACTGTCCACCTCGACATATTATTAACAGTTCCCAATTTTACGAATATTTCTCAATGCTTGGATCAAAGTTCATAGCTGGCGGTGACTTTAACAGTAAGCATTCTCTCTGGGGCTCAAGGATATCAAATCCAAAAGGTAAACAACTGTATGAGATGATCCTTCGACATGGTTTCTCCACCTTTTCAACGGGCACACCCACCTACTGGCCAGCCGATCCTAAGAAGAAACCCGATCTGTTAGACTTCTTTGTCGCTAATGGTCTAAGTTTCAAATGTGTTGAAATACAACCTAGTTACGACCTCTCATCAGACCATCCCCCGTGATAGCAACCATATTCTCTACGGCTGTGAACCTGCAAAGAACTCCAAAACCTCATTCTGCTAAAACTAATTGGGAACTATATCGCCAAATTACTGAGAAAAATACTAATTTAAAAATGAAACTCAAAACATGTCGGGAAATAGAAGATGGTATTGCAACATTCAACAAAACTCTGCTGGAAGCTGTTAAGGCTGCTACACCTATAGATCAACAAAATCAAAAACATTCTATTCCACTTGAAAAAAAAAAAACTTTTAAGTGAAAAAACGTAAAGCTAGGCGCAAATGGCAACATACACATTTACCGTCTGACAAAAACATTCTTAACAACTTGACTAATAAGCTTAAATCTCGGCTTAAAGAACTAAATGAGGAAAATTTTAATAATTATGTACAAAGCTAAATCGATATGATAACTCTATCTGGAAACCGATTAGGAACAGGCTAAAACCGGCTCTCAGGAATCCGCCTTTACGCCGTAACGATATAACAGGAGCAGTAGGTGATGATCTATCATGGGCAAGGAGCGATGGAGAAAAAGCTGAATTATTCGCCCAACATCTATCCTCAGTTTTAAACCAAATCCTGTTCGTATCTCTTCAAATAATCTGGATTTTTAAACCCGTTTGCACCAGTGAATAAGGGCAGCAGCTGCCTTAAATTCTTTTCATTGAATATGGTATTCAAAGAAATAGCTAAACTAAAAACTAATAAATCCGCGTTTTGACTCAATTACACCGAAACTGTTGAAGGAAATGCCCAAAAAGGGATTTATCCTACTAACATACCTATTCAACGCTATAATTAGGCTAAATTATTGGCCAGTACATTATAAAACTTCAATAGTTAAAATGATCCACAAAAAACGGTAAAGACCCATATAATGTGTCATCCTACCGACCTATTAGTCTCCTACCAGTGGCATCAAAAGTATTTGAAAAACTTTTGCTTAAACATATACAAAACAATACTAATGTAATTCCAGACCATCAGTTTGGTTTTCGAAGACAAACACTCGACGATTCAACAATGCCATAGAATTGTGAACATCATCCACAACACCCTAGAAACAAAACAATTCTGCTCATCAGTTTTCCTTGATGTAAATCAAGCTTTTGATAAAGTATGGCACAAAGGATTAGTGTAAAGATAAAAATCTCTCCCAATTGAGTATCTAAATTGCTGGAATCGTATCTTCAAATAGACGGTTTAAAGTTAAAGTGAATATGGAAACTTCATCAGCCTGCTTGGTTGAAGCAGGAGTCCCTCAGGAAGTGTACTGGGTCCATATCTATACCTGCTCTATACTAGCGATTTCCTACAGATGAAATTTAACAACTGCAACATTTGCCGATGATATTGCTATTCTATCTTCCGATCCTGATCCAGTTGTTGCATCGAGAAGGCTCCAGAGACATCTAAGAGTCATTGAAAATGGACTAGCAAATGGCGTATAAAAATTAATGATAATAAATCAACTCATGTAATATTCCACCTCAACAAATCTTCTTGCCCAGCAGTTCAATTTCATGATAAGACATTCCAGTTAAACACTCAACAAAATATCTCGGGATGATATTAGATAGCAAACTAACCTGGAAGCAACATATACTATCAAAATAGCTCTAGTGAAAAATAGAGCTAAGGAACTCTATTGGCTCATAGGTAACAAATCAAAATTGCCTATTGAAAACAAACTACTAATATATAAAACAATAATAAAGCCGATATGGACCTATGGTGTGGAATTATGGGGATGTGCAAGAAAATCCAACGAGCACAATCAAAAAAGTGACCACTCGATGGAGTGGCAGCTATTGAAACTTTTAAAATTCAGCCAATTTATTATGTGTGTGTGTATGACTGTGTGTGAGTATGTTTACTGTGTGAGTGTGTTTAAACATAAGCATAATAGCTCATAGAATTTTGTAAATTCTGATTGCTATTAAATAAAGTATAAAAAAAAAAAAAAAACAATAACTATTTTACTTTCTTCCGATTATGAACAAAAGCAAGAACTTTATTTATAAATTCATAGTCCATAAATGCAGAAAAATATTTGAGAGTTATTGTACACTAATACAAGTAATTTTATATTAATAGCTTCAAAATCTGATACAATCCAATTATATTTAATAACAAAATCAATAATATAAGGAATCATAACATATGCTGTTATGATTGATTTTACTTAAGCTGGTTTCTAGACGCAACTCAGTGGTTGACTGATTGCTGATAAGATGATTATTATTACTATATTATGATTATTATTACTATATTTCTATTAGTTATAAGAGAATATGTATAACACCAATGCCTCAAAAGGCTATTTTCACTTAATATAATATTTTAGATCTATAATGGTGGGTATCGAACCCAGATTTAGAATACTTTCATAGTTTGATTCTACATTATTTAGATTTGAGACGTTATTTATTTCTTTACACGTATTTTGATAGTAGAATAATTAGGAGTATTTATTGTAACAATAAACATCACTTTCAGTATTTGTGATAATAATTCTTATTAAATTCATTAGGATTTTCGAGGGTACATTGGCATCCTACAAAACTCTGTAGAGATATCATAATATAGTCGCTTTATAGAGATATTATAATATAGTCGCTTTCTGAATCCTTAACCTTAAATATAAAATTATAAATGCATTTTCTTTATAAACAGATCTATTTTTATTATATACTTATAAAATGCATGATAAAATCTCCTCATGCATTATAAAATGCATTATATATATGAGATATCTATAGAATATTTAAAAAAATTAATCGACAGAAAAACACCGAATTGATATATTTAATAATAAAAAATAATAAAATGGTAATATATAATGTAAAAATATGCAGTATTACTATTGCTACTGGCCACTCTTACTACTGCAATTTTTACTATTCTATTATCAATTCCACAGCACTAATTATTAATTTAATTAAGTTTAATTCTTTTAATTCAAGTTAATGTAATTTAAGTTAAGTTAGGTTAATTTTTATTAAGTGAAAATCGATTTTGAATCGTGTCATATTTATAATTTAATAAAATTGTTTTCAATGTTTAGAATGAATTTCATTTGCTAGACATAGATCATATCGATTTGTAGATTTATTTTTAGTAACCAGAAGAGAATTTTTATTTTTATCGGATCCCGCGCAATCTTTAATCGTAACAGAGAATATTAATAGTGTAACAAATATTAATTTTCACAAAATTAATAAAACGAAAAAACCTGCATGTTAGATAAATATTATAAGCAATATTAGCTTTAGCAAAAAGAAACTTTATGGAAATAATAAATTAAAAATTAAAAAAAACTTGCATCGGCCGGGAATCGAACCCGGGCCGCCCGCGTGGCAGGCGAGCATTCTACCACTGAACCACCGATGCTTGTATTGAAATGACGTTATTGCATGAATTCACGTTGCGAGAGTTGTGTGATAGAATTACATGCTTACATTTTATTATTAAAATTTTTGTTATCAGTTGAAATTTAAATATTTTAATAATAAATATGACTACAAGCTTTGGATTAAATTTTATCTTGAAATAATTAACATAAAAAAGTTCAGTTCAAAGACTGATATTTTTTAAATATGATGAGAACTAGTAATGTAATGAGGTATTCAAACGCCTGGACGACCATGATGTGCAGGGCTGAAACCTGCCAGGCGATGGTTTTCTTACTTAGCACGTTAAGAATTACAAAATTGTTTAGCCTTACAGGAACGTTGTTACTCAAAAGGTTTTTTTATATATATTTTATTGGCCTCGGTTACTCGAGCATTTAGCCACTTACATTATTCTATACAATCATAAATCCTGTACAATCTTCAATTTCATACTAACTTCTTCATATAATCCTATTCTTTCTATACTTCTTAACTTATCTTCATTCTTCTTCTTTACTATGTTCTCATTTTTTCTTCTAAGCACTTCTTACTTCTTCTACTATACTTCTCTCCCTAAAAAGTCTTCTCTCTACAAAAGGTTAAGTTGCTCTTGGTCCATAAATATGGATAATTAGGCTGGACAGAACAGTCTGATAATATACATACCTTTTATTTTAAAATCGGTAGCATAAACACATATATAAATTTTTATCTCAAAAGACAAAGTTTATTTTAATGCATATGCATCTTGCTAATGAAAGTGAAACTTTCAGCTCACCTGGCAGCCACTTGTGCAGGTTAAAATCGCGTGGTTATTTGATTTTTCCCAATTTCTCAGTAAATTAATTGAAGTATATATAAATTTTAAGCTTATAGGAACAAGTTTAATTATAAAGAATTTTTTGCATTTTCAAACGCCTGAACGACCTGCCAGGCAATGGTTTCGTTCTTGGTGCGCAAAGAATCACCAGTACAATTTTTTTGTCTAGCTCACAGCCCTATTAACTCAGTTAGTAAAAAAATTAGTATACCAAGAAAAATATTAGCATCCAAATTCTTGTAAATCAACCCTTATAGTAAGTACAGGTTACTATATTGACCAGCAAACATCAGTAATTATTGAACCGCCAAAAAGTATAGAGTAAACACTGACATAAAATATATAAAATGTTTGTTTTTATGCATCAGAAGAGATTTACTAATTAATATCTTTTCAATATATTTTATGTTTATTTTAAATATCGTCTAAAAGGTCTACAAATCATCTCAAATTGGTTTCAATCCTTAATTAACATTCCAGTTATTCTCGAAAAATAAGAAAGTTATAATGACCATCAATCTCATATAAGTTCTCTAATAAAATAAACTAGTAAACATATTAATACTTTGTTGTAATTTTGGTAAAATTTAAAAAATGCTACACAGTAAAATAAGTGCAAAGTGGCGGGAATAGCTCATTCAGTAGCGTTCTCGACTCACACGTTGGAGGTCATGGGTTCGAATCTCCAGCAATACCAGAATTACAAATATAAAATATTAAAGTAGATTGAGTATTAATTTGTAGAATACAAGAAAAAATTGTATTAGAAGTAAGAAGAAAAAAAGAAGTTTAGTTTAGAAGATGAGAAGAACATATTGAGAAACAAGAAGAAGAATGAAAATTGAATGGAACTGAAGAAAGAAATTGAATGGAAGATTAGAATATAAGAATATAGTATATATATATATATATATATATATATATATATAAGATGAATGTATACAAAATATATATGTAAGAATTGTATAGAAAATGATGAAAAATATTATGAATAATGTAGGTGGCTAAAAATATTGTAAAACGAAGGCCAACAAAATTTAAAAAAAAAGTAAAAAGATAAGTGCAAACAGTTTTTATTACCCCGAATTTATATTATATATTTAACAGATTGCAAATAAAATTTTAGAAGAACATTTTACAAGAATTTGTTTCACAAACAGAGTGATAATTACAAAATAATGAAATATTATTTAGAAAAACAATAATATTTACCTTGTTTCTACTTCACGATCAATTAAGAGTTCTGTATTATTTCCATACACTCTAACAAGTACAACATCGTCATAGCTTTTTTCTCCATAGAAACATCCCACTAATTTATTTGTAATTCCATCGGTGAATAACTGAAAAAAAAATATAATTTAGTAATCTAAGTTAACTAAGAAAATAAAATACTAACTGGTTGTGAGTGATACGTAAAACATTACTGCTTTGCATAAATATTAATAATTTTTTCGCATAATAATTTTTGTAGAAATGACGTCTTTTCGTTTCTTCAAATTAGGAAAAAACACATTTAGAATAATTAGTAATTTTCTAACAAAATTACACTTATCAAATTAAATTATTATCGAATTACAAGATAAAAACAACCAGATTTATAAGTGTATACGTGAGATCAGACCTAATCAAGTTATCAAATTGCGTGATAAACGGCTTGGATATATGAATATTATAAATGTAAACAACTGATGTAGGTCAATGTTAAGTAAGGTTGTTTTTGTTATTTTACGTCAATTTAAATAAAATCCTAATATATAATATTATATGTAGAGTCGTAAATGTTATGTAAATATAAATATACAAACACATATGTGTCAGAGAAAACCGCGAAATTAAAGTTAATTATTACCATGCATTGCAATGAGTCTAGAGCAAAATTACTAAAGTTACGTAAACTTATTGGTTATATGCATATTTAAGCAGAGTTATATATTTTGTACGTGACTAATGAAAAATATAAGTAATAACTTTTTTATTTTTATCGATGGTCGCAAAATGCTAATAAGAAAATTATAGTTTTACATTTTTGGTTCCTATTTTATTAACTTCCCGTAGGGTGAGTTATAGTAATGGGCCACAAAATCGAAAATGAAACTTTTTGCATATATTCAAGTTTTAAGGTTTCTGAATATTTTGCCATACCTCAGAAAAAATTGATGTGTGTACTATATGCGTGGAGACAATTTTTCGTCGACGATTTCGGGGTGTATAGATGAACCGACTTGAAAAATTAAAAAAGCAATCGTTTCTCATTGATAGGGAGATGTGCTGATTAGTTTTTGGAAAAGACAGGTCCAGCGGCTTCGGAGATATGGAGCAAAAAGTGCTAAAAGTGCCAGTTTTTAATATGATCAACCGATTTGAATGATTCAAAAACATTGCAATCGTAATGATGGAGAGAAGTGGTGATTAAATTTTGGCAAAGGCAGGTCCAGCAGCTTCGGAGATAGCAAGACAAATGTGCAAAAAATAGTAGTCTTTGATAGAACTAGGCATCCAATTGAATTGAATGTTTTTTAAAAACTTTCTGCTTGTGTTGACGAAACGATTGCTTTTGGGTGAACAATTTTCTTTCATTTTTTTTTAATTGAAAAAATGTTTTGAATATCGAAAAATAATTCGGATTTTAATTCTGAATCTAGCTAAAGTTCTAAACATCACTTATAATACTTCAAATAATCATAATAATCTATTTGAAAACATTTAATATTTCTCGAATATTTATTTAGGGCACGGAAAGTTCCAGCAACTTACCTTAAGACGTTGTGCCATACACCACTAATTTTACTTATAATTTGAGAAACACACTTAAATGCAATTAAAAATCATTTTATAGAGATTGTTTGCGATGAAGATCATATCAGCAAAATAAATATATAAAAACTGTTATTGATCAATAACAAAATAATATCGGTTTTTGATTTGAGGTTTCTCCTACATTATTTTATTATAGTAATTTCCGGAATTTATAGTATGACTAGTATAGAAAAAAATGTGTAAAAATGTTTTTATCATTTTAGATAATGGGCACGATAATACTGATTGATTACATATTACAGCGCATTTCGGCAAATTGATTGAAATCCAATCATGATGACTAATTAGTAAAACGTAATTAATCATCACGGATTTATTATAATTTGTACGCATTAAAATGAAATTTAAACGCTTAGTATATTAATATCTTACAGTGATTTCTTCGCAGAAATCCCTTGGTCATTTGGTTAAATATTTAAATTTAAGAGAAAATATTTGGAAAATGCATTTATACATATAAGTTTCAAAAGTGTATCTTTTTCAGTAAATTCCAAGTGAGAAAGAACCAACAAAGTTTTAAAGCTTAAACATAAAATTTGCAAAAAACATAAGATATAAGCAACAGCCAAGAGAAAAAATATAAGTTTTTCTAAAATATTTAAAAACTTATTTGAAATTATAATTTGCTCAAAGAGTCCACTATTACATACGTCAAATTGTGGCAAATCAATTCTTTTTTAATTTATTTTTGCCATAAAATACTACTTTATATCCAAGTTTTATACTTTTGTTAATAGGACAAAAAGTTCCAAGAATTCTGAAACTTGATTTAAAATCTTATATATATATATATATATATATATATACATAGCTGGGCACCGTTAATCAAAAAGTTAACTTCGTTAATCGTTAATCCGCTACAAAAAAAGTTAGCTTCGTTAAACGTTAAAGCGTTACATTTCGGAATAATTAACGCAAGTTAACGTTAATCGTTAATCCGTTAATATGTGTAAAATTACATTTTTATATTGTTGCGTTAGTGAACTTAAAAAACTTATTGGTTTAGGTTCTGGAAGTTAACAGGTTATGAATAAAACAAAATACATACTTGTATAATTCAAATGTGTAATTCAACCCCTTAATGGCGCGACGCGCTTTATGCACACACCGTGATAATAACGCTATTGGTCAACTTTCTGTTTTTATGATTGCATATTGTTTTTACAAGAATTTTTTTCTAAATAAAGGGAAAGAGTTTTTTTGCGAAAAATAGGAAACGCGCGACGGGTTAAGCGTCGGGTATTAGGTGCATATTTCTCTTCATGAACATTAACATGTTGAAGTTCTCGTCTGAAAGCGAGGCTCGTTTTGGTGTCAAAATGTCTTTACCCGTGGAAAACAAACGTTCAACTGCAGCGCTTGAGGGTATAATAGCAGTATTGTATTTAATAAATTGATTTATGAATATCTGTTCCGCGAGGAATGCAGCATCGTTGAACAAGTTTTTTGAACATGTTGGCACTGTTCATCATTCACGAGTGGTCCAAATCTTTTCTCTATGTCATTTAATAAGGCATTGGCTAAAGCTGTGCCGTGCGGTAAATAGTAATAATTGGCAGGGCCGTGCCTGGGTATGTGGCCGCCTGCGTGCGAGCATATAAATGGCCGCCCTTAAAAATAGCATAATAGGAAAATATCCAATATGTTCTCACGAAAAAAATCGTCTTGTAATTTTCAAGTTTTCTCGACATTTTAAGTCATTCTGAATCGTTTGAAAGCCGATTTTTGAATTTTCGGCAACGTTTTCTCAAAAACGGTTAAATCCAATTCAAAAATTTAAAAGTCATTTGATGTAACTAGATAATGACTAGCGCCTGTCAGTTTTGTGCGACGATCGGCCAAGCTGTTTCTAATCAACAGAAAAATATAAAATTTATTGTACACGTTTTAGCCAAAAATTCTGCATCGATTTTAAAAATTCAGGAACTGTTTGAAAGATATCATTTAGGAATCGTGCTGATTACTTCTAAGAGATCGGTCGGTTCGTTTCTTCGTGTTTAATTGGTGAATATTGCTTTACGATGATATTTATAAAACTTTTTTGGCGATAGTGATCATGGTCTCTAAGATAACTAAATATTTCGACCCACATTAAGTCATTTTAATTTTTAAAATCTGTACTATCAAAGATTGCAAAAATGAGCGGCGCTTTTTTACGTGAGTCAAAATTTCATCTTTAGTGGACCTTTTCTCAAAAATGCACAATCCCAGTTGAAAAATCGTCAAAATTCGTAAATTCGATAAGCACTCGTGCTGCTTAGTTTTGCCTTTAGAATTTTCAAAAAAGTCTCAAATTTTTAATTAGTGAAATGATTTTAAAAATTCAAAAACCATTACAAAAGTTTTCCATTTAAGAATCTTGCTGATTAAATTTTGTCAATAATCGACGAGTCGTTTTTCAGTTATTGATTAACAAATTGCTTCGGAAATTTGGATCTTGTTTTTAATTTACTACAGTTTGTTTCTTGTTCAATAATATGTAATTTTTAAACTATTTATAAAACATAACTAATATTTTTAGAAAATTTGTACAAAATTGAATAATCTGCGATAGTTTTTCACATTGCAATGTACTCATGAATTAATATATTTTTATTGTTAAGTCGATTATTAACACATGTTGGATACTTCATGCAACTTGATTTAGGCAAAGTTGCCACTTACACCAAGTTTATAACTTATAAATTATTTAGAAACAGAGTCGCATTCAATAGGGCCGCCTTTGGCTGATTTTTACTACGGTAATTTTGGTCTTTTAGATATATACAGCGGACTTTACGGCAGCGAATGAGTTCAGCGGACTTTGAGCTTGGCCGCCTCTTAATCCAACATCTTTTAATTTGGCCGCCTTTTAATTCAGTAGACTTTTAATGCAACAGCTATTTATTACGACCATTTTTTGTTATGGCCGTCTTTGAATTTGTTCTTTTTTTCATTTGGCCGCCCCTCGGCCGTCTCAAAAGGCGGCCGCCTGCGTGCGGTGCACGCACTGCACGCTGGCCAGGCACGGTCCTGGGCATTGGATTAACGATTAACGGACTTCTGGCATTTTAACGGAAGTTAACGTGTCCGTTAACATTTTCAAAAGTTAACTTAAAAGTTAATCCGTTAATCAAAATGTTAACTTCGTTAATTAACGATTAACGGATTAACGAGTTAATGCCCAGCTATGTATATATATATATATATAAATATATATTAATTTTTACTGGCCTTGCTTACTCTGAGCATTTAGCCACCTAAAACATTTTTATTTATTTACATTCTATACCAATTTTTATGTAATATTCTATATACTTCTGCTTAATTTTTGCTGTTTTCTATCAAATTTCTAATTCTATTCAACTTCTATCTTCATTCCAGTTTTTCTTCTTCATTCTTCTTTTTAATCGCAGCAAATTCTAATATTTTTTCTTCTTACTCCTAATATATATAATTCAGCTTTTCGAATTCTGTAATTCCTATTTTTCTTCATAGTTATTCAATTTCTACTTAACAAATACAATTTTCATTTAATTTCAAA